TTGATGATACAAAGATATCGAGAATCTGGTTTAAAGTCAACTTTTCTCAAATCGAAACAATGATCTCATTTGCAACTACAGTCTTTCATGCGAATTGTAAAGTCATAACTCTCACAATGAAGTATCTACAGATATTTCCGTTTACTCGATCATGACGTAGCACACGACGGGTGTAACCGATCGACAGGAGATCCTCACTCCTCCATGGCACCTGATCCTTTCACTGTTTTCAGAAACCTGTGTTTGCTCTACTCACAACTTGTATTGTTTGATTTGAATTTGAGCATGAATGCTAATCGTTATCTTCACATTTCATTTAAAAACAATGTGAATCGACGCCATCCTATAGAAAATAATATTGCTTATTTTGATGTTATGAAATTTTGTATGTCCTAACCTTCTGAAGAGGTACATATACCCCTTAAAAAGTTAAGAACGATAGAATTGATCTCGTGTTATCGCTGTTGAAACATTGATAACCAATAAAGTCCATTATTCTGGAGAAATGGAACAATATAATACATAATTATATTCCCGCTCCGAAGGAGATTGGGTATACTGTTTTACCACTGAGAGTCTGTTTGTATGTCGGTAACAAATTTTTAAACGAAGATTTCTCAGCAACTACTCTTCGCAGATGCTTGAAATTTTTAACACACACTTTTTTTTAGATGGCATACGGTTGAATTCATTTTTGTACAAATCCGATGTCAACTTCCCTTTTATCAGTGTGTATGTCCGTACCAAATTTCCGTTGCAGGGTTCTCAGCAACTATTCTTCGCGCGGATGCTTGGAATTTTAGCACTTTTTCTTTAGGCAATCTATATGGTGGGATCTAATTTTGTACGAATCCGATGTCAACTTCCTGTTCATGCTTGCATCAGTTCGTACCAAGTTTCCAAAAAGTGTGTGAGAGAACCTTTTAATCAATGTGAATGATTCCATAATGGATTTATATTGTTAGTACTTATTACATGATGAAATAAAAACAAACACAGTATACAGTGCAGGGAACTAATTTTGTTACAGTATCGATGCTAATTTGAATGCTTTCTTTGCTTGCTGATTTGAATGCTTCCTTTGCTTGCTGATTTAATGCTAGTAATCTTTATCCTGATGCTGTTTTATAATAAGATCAGTGCTAACGGAAGTAGCATCATGCTACTGGAAGTGGATATTAATCGTATTTCAGCATTGCCGTTTAAAGCTATAAAAGTGCCTTATGTTATCATTTGATCATAATATTTCATTATGTATTATTAATTTGAATAATTTAACCAATTATCTTTCTCTGTTTTCAATTTTCTATGTCTAAAACTTCATTGATATTCTGATGCTAGTAGGTCAATGGTGATTTTAAGTAAGTCAATGCTAGTTTTATCCTTTGCTTGCTGATGCTGATCCTGGCAACACTGTTTTTAAAATACTGATCCTGATGCTAGCTGGATGCTGATGCTTAATTTGCTTATGATGATGCTGATGCAGATTTATGTAACAAAATTAGTTCCCTACACTGTATTTCTAACAAGATGCTTTGGTTATTAGGTTTTGTTAGTGTGGTCATTGACTTGCTGTATAAACTTTAATGATGATAAAATAGATGAATCTTAAATGAAACCAGAAGTCTCTGATAAGACTGTAGCTTTACTGGTCTGTACGTATAACAAAGGAAAAGTAGCACTTGGATTTGAAAATTTGCAACACGCAACAATAAATAGAATTATGTATCTTAAAGTAGTCTATTTCTGTGCCAAGTTTTATTGAAATCACACGAAAACTGTAGGAGGAGTAACGCTTTGAAAGTATTTCACAGCAATTCAATTTTTAGTAACCATGACAACACTATTCACTAAAATCAAAAACCGAAATACAGAATATGTATCATTATAGTGTATTCTAATTGTGTGCCAAATTAGATTGTAGGAGGAATAACGTTTTAAAGGAATTTCACAGAAATTTCTATTTTTAGTAACTATGGCAACACTGTTCATCGAAATTAAAAACCAATGCATTAAATTTTGTATATTAGTATAGTCTTCTTGTATGCCAAGTAATATTAAAAGCAGACTAAAACTGTAGCAGGGGTAGCGTTTTAAAGGAATTTCACAGAAATTTCTATTTTTGGTAACCATGGCAACAGCGTTCATCGAAATCAAAAACTGATGCACTAAATTATGTATGATAGTGCAGTCTACTTGTGTGCCAAGTTATACTGAAATCAGACCAAAACTGTAGGAGGAGTAGCATTTTAAAGGAATTTCACAGAAATTTCTATTCTTAGTAAACATGGCAACATCGGTCATTGAAATCAAAAACGGATGCAATAAATTATGTATCTTAGTGTAGTCTACTTGTGTGCCAAGTTATACTGAAATCAGACCAAAACTGTAGGAGGAGTAGCATTTTAAAGGAATTTCACAGAAATTTCTATTTTTAGTAAACATGGCAACATCGTTCATTGAAATCAAAAACGGATGCAATAAATTATGTATCTTAGTGTAGTCTACTTGTGTGCCAAATTATATTTAAATCAGATCAAAACTGTAGGAGGAGTAGTGTTTTAAAGGAATTTCACAGAAATTTCTAATTTAGTAACCATGGCAACAGTGAACACCGTTCATCGAAATAAAAAACCGATGCACTAAATTATGTATCTTAGTGTAGTCTACTTGTGTGCCAAGTTATATTGAAATCAGACCAAAACTGTAGGAGGAGAAGCGTTTTGAAAAATTGTTTACAGACAGACGGGCAGACAGACAGACAGACAGACGGACGGACGACGGACACCTTACTATCGCATAAGCTCTTTTGTCTCTGACCAGTAGAGCTAAAAAAATCATAGTAATTACATTTTTTTTTTAAAAATATAACTTGTGTATATCTCATGAGAACGTATATTCACATCAGTAAGGATTGGCTCACAGACTTCTTGTTATATATATATATATATATATATATATATATATATATATATATATATATATATATATATATATATATATATATATATATATATATAAAATTCCAATCTTTATTTTATTTATTGATTTCCTTTTTGTTTCTGTTTTGATTGGACGAGAACAAATTCAAGAAGAAGTTTACACATCGATAAATCTCTCAATCAGAACTGCTTTCTTGACCTAGTTTTTATTGTAAAAGATTGAAACAACTTGTTACTTCTAGTCTGTTTTACATAAACGATAACAGAAACTTGAGATTAAAACAAAATATATATAAATAATTAAATAAAAACTGACTTCATCCAGGACTGACAAACGGGAATATTATGTTTATGTCACTCTCAGATCACGAGTGTGAATTTAAAAATCTCTGATGTCATTATATCGTCGTTCTCAAGACTAAGCAAATCAGCTCATTTCTCGGTGGCGCCGATATACAGGAAAGAGAATCGTATCTCAGACTCTTCCCTTATTAACATCAAATTCATATTTCTGTCCCTTCTTTGAACAAACCAGAGCAAAGCAAGGGTGTCGTCGGTATGCTACTTTCATTTGAGAGCGTCAACATGGTCACGGACGAATTCTTCTGAAGTCTACTTGTATTAACGGTATTCTTTGACTTAAACAATATTCGAAGAGATTTTATCAGTTTATTTTATTGAATATTTTGACAATTTAAGTTTAACTTTATCGATGTTCATCTCGATTACGTTCCATTTCCACATCGCGACATAAAGTATTCCTACGCTGTGTCTAGAAATAACGGATTTTATGAAGGCTTCAAAGAGAAATAATTTTAAAACTTCGTAATTTGAATTATAAGAATTAAACGTTCTTTTTGAAAATTTTATCGATGTGTAAACTCTTGACATTTTACTCACAAATTTAACATAAAAGTGCTTCGCACTTTTATTTAGTTTGTGAGTAAAATGTCAAAAGTTTACACATCGATAAAATTTTCAAAAAGAACGTTTAATCCTCTAATATTTTTTTTTAATCAAAGCAATGTTGCATCATTTTCAAAAAGTGTCATTGCAGATCCCACAGAATATTTATAATTAATTTACGATACCAAAGAAAAATTGTATAAAACAGTACAATTACAATTTTGGCTCTCAGAAAAGAGTAAAATGCCATGTCATTATTGACAAATACTGACAGTTTTGTAATGCCAGGAACATAGCCTATAATGTATTTATTTCAAGATAATGAGAAGACGCTCTATAATTTTGTATCATATGTCTACCAACAGTTATTCACTTACCTTTACGGGATCCTCTGTAAATAACTACAATCATACATATACAGTACCTGGCCATAATACAGTACGCAAAATGGCCGCCGTTATAAAAATATACGTGCACACTTGCAGTTTTGAATGTTGTTTTTTCAAATTGTTATATAATAAAATTTATCCTACCTTACTAATACTTGGTTATGTAACATTTTGCTTTTATTACAGCTTTTAATCGTGTTGGTATTGATCTGTACAGTTTTCTAATCGTCTCCAAATCGATAGAGGCCCATATGTCCTTCACAACACGCACTAGGTCTTCGCGTTTTTTAATTTCGTCCAGGCGATGTTCCAGTCTGATCTTAATTGTCCTCCACACATTTTCAATTATGTTAATGTCTGGTGATTGACTAGGCCAGGTAAGTGTAGGGATGTTGTTTGTTGTTTTCCATTCAACTGTCTGTCTGGACTGGTGCACCGGACAATTATCCTCCTGTAGAATCCAGGGACTTGCAGGAAACTCCTTTGCAACAAGAGGCCAAAAATGATAATCTAGGACCGAATTATATTTCTCAGAGTTTATATTTCCTTCTACTTCAGTCAAAGTTCCAACACCATTAAAAGATAAACACCCCCAGAACGTAGCCGATATGCCGGAGCGGGGCGAATGACTACTATACTGTCCAAGACAATCGGGTTGAAATCTTTCTCCAGGTTTTCTCCAGACGTAAATTTTTCTATCCTTTCCTAAAACAACTTTCATCTCATCACTAAAAATGACCTGACTCCAGTTTTCCTCCACTGTTCACCCTAATTTGGATCGACACCACAAAACACGGTTTTGACGATTTGGTTTCGAGATTATTTTCTTTGAAACGGAGCATCTTTGATATTTCTGTTCTTTTAATCTCCTTCTAACAGTTCTATTAGACACTTTCTGTGGTACAGATTCGTTAAATTTATCAGTTAAATCTGACAGAATCTGACGACGATTTTTCTTTACCAACCTTGACAAGACGCGATCACCTCTTTCGCCCACCAATCGTTGTCTTCCCGGTCTTTCTCTGTTTTCCACGGAACCCCTTTCAGCATTTCGTCTTACAACTTTCTGTATGGAATTTGGACTTATTCCGATAATTTCCGAAATTTTCCGGCTACTTAAACCACTCTCATTCAATTTAATTATCGTCTGCTTTTGCTCGAGTGAAAGGTCTTTCCCCCTCGGAGCCATTTTGATTTACGTATGTTTTGGTACTAAAAATAAATCTATAAATCTACGGAACGTCCTATGTGTGTGACGTCAGATATGACGCTCATGTGTGAATGTGTGTAGTTGTCATTATTTTTTATCATATTACAATTGATAAAATGGAGAGGAAAAACATCGTATGTTAATTTTAATTTTAACGGCGTCCATTTTGCGTACTGTATTATGGCCAGGTATTGTACCTTTAATTTTAACCATCAACTGTGCTTATTAATGATAACTCTTGAGGACTACGCACGCTAACTCTCGATTCCCGCCTACATTTTACACCCATTTAATTCAATACTAATGGCAATATGGCCAAAGAATATGTGCTGAATGCAAAGAAGAGTTCAATGGTAATTGATTAATAATTTTAATATCAGTGTTAAATAGTTAATTACTCTTACCGGTAATTTCAGCTCTTTTTAAAAGGGGGTAAAAGATGTTTTTCATTAAAATCAAGCTTGAATGCATCAGCATATTTTAAAATATTCTTGGATATGGATACATGTTCTTTAGATCTTTTCTTATGTTTTACACATGTAAAATGAAACATATGTAATTGATAAAATATAATGTTTAAGTTGTAAACCCCTTCGAAATCGGTGAAAAAATGAGCATTTTTGTTGTTTTTTGTCTGTAAACATATGTCCCCCCCCCCCCCCCGTAAAACACAAAAAAACTTCGGTATGAATCTGTGAAATAATAATCCATATTACCTGTAAAAAGGAATTTTTGTTTCACGGGGGGGGGGGGGGGGGGGGTTAAAAATATTTTCCGTTTTCCATTGATTCTATAGTGAAAAACACAAGTTTTACCAAAATTATAGAGTTATCTCTCTTTGTTTTCCTAAATAAGTAATGTTTTATGAAAATTCATATAAACATCCATATAAATATGAAAAATCATTCAAATATGTTAACAATTGAGAATTAACTTGGAGGTAGGCGAGAGAACAATACTATCGTTCGCAGTTCTTTGACTTTTTTCATGTGTCAGTTTGCATTTTATCGATCCAATTGCCAGCTGATTTAATAAAAAGAGGTCCATTTTCTTTTTTGTTTCATTTCTGCTTAATTTTATATTCATTATTACCCAGGTTTTTCTGACATACAAAGTTTGATTACCACAGGCATTTTTTTTCCAATTTAAAAAAAAATGACAAAAAGAACAAAAAGCTTTTGTTTCTTTTCCACTATTTTCTTCTAAGATATCGTGTTTTACATCATATTGGTATAATTTTTCCGCTTGGGATTAATTTATGCTACTTACTCGGTCACGCATTCTCCGCAGAAATTTGTTTTTGCTTACATTAAGAGCACATAAAATATGAAATAGCAATTGGAGAAGTCTGTGTCTTTTTGAACACGCGGAATAAACTGAAATTGCAATTCTGCGAATATGAACACTTCGAAAATACTACGTTAAAAGAATTGCATTTACTTACTTTATGCGCCTTAAAGAAACTGCATAAAGGCTAGGAGCCCTTGTGACAAAAGAAAGTCCATTATTTTTTTCAACATCAAATGGTTTTGAGAATCAACGTATTGGGCATGCAAAACTTATGATGTATAATGGGTATTCTGCATATTGCAGATATTCTACTTTGTTTTGAATATGTTTAATGAATGATCTCTATACATGTCCGAAAAATACAATTATCATTTTGATTTTTTAAGTGGATTTATCAAGGGCTAAAGTCGCCAGTCAGAGCTCAATTTACCCTTGTCTAGATGACGCCTGTAACAAATTTTATATAGCATCAAATGCAGTTGATCGAGACTTGTCCACCTGTACAAGAAACATGTACATTGGAGAAAATTCAATCACAAACACTGTATGGTGGAGAGTAGATCTCGGAAAAATTTTCAGCATTTACAGCATCAATGTTGTCTTCAAGAATTATGGTGGTTATGGTAAGAATTTTCATGTTATGTTGATTTCTGTTGATGACGGCGTTTCTTGAAAATGAATAAAATATTTTTTTGTTAATCTAAACCAGAATGATTGATTGATTGCTTAGCCAACATGGAGTTTCCAACTTCTTTGGAAAAAAACAAAATTTAGATTTGCTCTGTTAAATACCATCAAATCAGTATGTAGATAATACTTATCATGCAAACGCCCCCTGAAATAAGCTTTATTTCGCAAATCTTAAGTACAATAATCATTAAATATTGAATTAAATATGAGAGTTATTACATAACGCACATTACAAATAATAATGATTTTTTTCTTATTTCATACAGAAATGCGACAAAGGGGCCGTTTTGCGGGGTTTTCTCTTTATTTATCGAATTCTAGCCTCCGAATAATTGACTTCCTGTGTTACGAGGATGGGAAAGAATTGCCACCATTAAACTTTACGACGCCATGTATCGGATACGGACGATACGTAACATTTTATAATCAACGATCGGATAAAATCAAATATCCTGACGGATACGAACGTAGAACCATCATTGAATTGTGCGAAGTTATAGTAAATGGTAAATGGATTATCATTTTTCTTTAATTTCATTTTTTATAGAAAGAAAAGTTTCATCAGGGATGTTGAGTCAAGGTGACAAAATTATTAGAAGTCCATAGTTATTCAGTTCACATATCATAGATGTATGAACCCTACGTTATTGATAAATGAGTTAAATTCTATTTAGAAGCAAAAAACACACTATTTGTTTCTTATACATCTCAATGTCTTAAAACTATACAAATTAAAAAGGTTGTAGTGAAGCTGGTGTATATGGAGAAAACTGTAATGTAGCATGTCCGAAGAACTGTCAGGAACAGAGGTGTGACATCGTCAATGGAACTTGTCTTGGGTGTTTACCTGGATGGAGCGGGCGATTTTGTGAAAACAGTACTAGATCATAATTACAGTCGAGTCTCAAGAATCCGGACGCCTCTAAGACGGATGTTTTTCCTTGGGAAATGTTTAAGGGCATAAGAATTTTTCGTATATATATAAACAATTAAAGTTCCGTGTCGGTGATCTGGATGCTTCATTAATCCCGAGAATGTGCTTGGGAACCCAAAGCATTCGGATTAATGAGGCTCGACTGTATATTTAAATGAAATTAATCAGTTTCATCCATTTTACTAAATCTGATTGAAAACTTTAGATTTTTTTTTACTTTAAATATGTTTAATTGATTTGAAATTTTGATTGCCTAGTTTGCCAAGGTGGGTGGTATGGTTTTGAATGTAAATTAAGGTGCTTTGGGCACTGCAGAAACAACGCTTTTTGCAACCACGTGACTGGTCAATGTGACAATGGATGTGCTGATGGATGGAAAGGATTATATTGTAATAAACGTACGTAGCAATCAATGTTTATGTATTTCAACAATGGTGATATTATTTCCACAGACTGAAGTTCATCCGCCATACTAGTATAACGCGATGTTCGTTAACATGCAAGTATCCAAAATATATACAGTACATTTCCTGAAATCAATTCTTAATTCCTGATATCAGGGTACTCACAATTGAACTTAGGGTGAGTTTTTGTGCTGATTTAAATTATAACTGTACTCCGCAAGATCTATTTGTTTGCAGAATGAAGGGAATCGAGAGTATGTAGTGATACTTTAGATTATTTTTGTATTTTGATTGGTCTTCATTTGTTAGCAGAGTGTAAAGATGGATACTATGGCTTGGATTGTAAATTCAAGTGCAGTGGTCACTGCCAGAATAACGGTCCCTGTAACAAACAAACTGGACATTGTGATAAAGGTTGTGAAGTAGGATACACTAATCTCTTATGTAACAGCGGTAAGGAATCTTTTTTTTAATTTTAAAGGATGCTAAGAGGGATACAATGATCCCTCCCGTCACAGCATAACTTTTTTTTTAAAGATATATTAGGTTTACAAAGAAATATTGAAAATTAGATGTGTCAGGGTGACCACATACCCCGCTGATATGCAGGTTCAAACTATCTGAAAGTACAGGCATGTGAAAATAACAATTGGTAGAAATAATTAGAATAATAAGAAAGTTTAATTGGCCATAACTTTTGTAAAAATCGGTCAATTAACACGAAACTCCTATTCGATCTCTAGGTCATCCCAAAAGGAATTAATTCAAACTGCATTATCTACAAGCATAGCATAAAAATATGAAAAATGAATAATTTTGAAAGTCTTAGGGCCAAATTTCTGTAAAAAATCAATCATCATGAAACTCGACCTTGATCAGCAAGTCATCAATATTAAAGGTACCGTACAATAAATAGAAGATTATGAATGTTTTGTATTTGGATAAGGAATTTATTCACAGAAAAACTCGTTTAGTACGAACACGAATATAACGAATTCACGGATATAGCGAAGTTTTCTTGGAACCCAAGCTAAATAAATTTTGTGTATTCCTTATACTGATATAACGAATTACGGATATAACGAAGTAATTTCACAGGTCCCAATGATTTCTTTATAACCGAGTTTTACTGTAATGAGTGAGGCAGGAGTTTTTGATATTTTCACGATGGAAGGAATTTTGAGAGTATTCTCACTTTCTTACTTTAATATTCTTTCATACTTTTACAGAGTATCACTTTTATTCAATAAAAAAAATTACAGTATTTCACTGTTGATTATTTAGTAAATTAAATCCTTATCTACAAGCATAACAAAAAACGTCCCGAAAAATAGTGTATTATTAGAAATTTTGAAGGTATAAAAACAAGAACTTGTGTAAAAATGGATCAATTAACTCGAAATTTATCTGTAAGACAGTTTGTTAAGATCAACTTACTCGAAATTTATTTCCAATTTATCAGAATTAAGAGGCATACCAAAGTTCACCCTTTTTCAACAAGCATAGCAAAACAGAGGTCTGGAAAACTGATTTATTAGAAAGGTATATAAATAAAAATAAGTGCATGTAAATTTTGTTTCTTGTAAATTTTTTCTTCTCCATGAGTTAGTGTGTCCTTCCGGGTATTTCGGGAACCGATGTATGGAACGCTGTAGTGCATATTGTTTGAATGACATGGTATGTAACCACGTAGACGGAGTCTGCGCAGACGGATGTGACGATGGGTACATTGGAGACAGATGTGACAAATGTAGGGAAAAGATTCGATAATATGTATGTCTCTACAAATCACTTAAGATTAAGAACTTTTAGGAATCATTTGAATTTTTTTGTAGTTTCATTACCTGACGTCACGAACGTCAGATAGGTGAAAGATTAATTTTTCAATGGAGGGAAATCATGGGATGAAAGCTAGTAAGCTAAAAGTTGCGCAAGCAGATTTACATCTCATTCTGTTACTTATATTTCAATAACAATAGTTAGCAGAAAAAATAATCATATTACTTATGCAAAACATTGATATGTTTACTTCCTTTGGTTTTATTTATTTATTTTTGGTATGCAACTTTTTATTCCATGCAATATACTATATATATATATATATATTTCCATATATTTCCTCTGTGTTTCTATATTACAATGCACTTGGTCAGTCAATTTGTCTTCTATGAAAGGGAGATACAAACTATTAATTCAAGTCAAATAAAACGGGTAATTCTTCGAACCTTCTCCTTGGAATGTTTTATGCCATAGATGTGATGGCTTCCTGGAATATAAAAATTTGTTTCTTACAAACCGATTCCTGAGACCTGGAATGTTTATTAATCACGTTTGACATAAAAGATACCCTATATGGGCAATTATATGGGCAACTATAATAATGAATTTGCTAAGTTTAACTAATTATTTTGTTTTTATTGTTTTCACCTAAATTTGGACAAGTTTGATAAGCTATGATATCATTAACAAATACACTCAGCACTTGCTAGATTACCATGCATTATCGCATAAAAAATTGTTCATAAACAAATTCATTTCCTTAAACACTAGTAGTTCTTTATTATTAGGTGGTTATCAAATTTTCAGCAGTATTTTGGCAATTCTGGTCTTGTATGCAATTAAAACCCATCCATATAATTTTTCACAGCCAAAGCTTTACAATACTATTCATTTTATTCATTTGTTTTACTTATTTAATCTATTCTTAATTTAAAGTCATTAAACAATCTTCAATATAGCATCATTATTAAATTCTGTCAAATATTATCAACATGCGTACATCCAAGTCTTATTGGTCTTGTTCTGATATATATTTTGAGACACAGAAAAAATCATGTTCTTTTGAACTTAATTCACTTTCCATACTTGTGATTGATCGGATACAGGTAACATTTCAAAAGAGTTCTGATGTTCTGTTAAAATCCACTCATTAAAAGTCTTCAAAATATACGGTGATGAAACATTTCGCACCCAGAGAAGCTTTTCCTGGAGCGTTTCGCACCGGAACACGTTTGACACTACGGGGTTAAGGATTCTGGTATCATTTATGTTCCATAACTTGCATCTATAAGAAAAAATAACTTCATTAAACAGTTTTTCAAGAAGAAAATCCTTTTTCTATTCATTCAATATGACACAAACGCTGCAATGAAGTAAAACGTTGGTCACCTTATACATACTACAGATATTGATTGCTATAATCAGGCAAGCTTTTTGCTTGCTTGCTTGTTTGTTGTTTAAAGTCCCTTTCGAGAATTTTTCACTCATATGGAGATGCCACCACTTGCCGGTGGAGGGCTACATATTTTGAACTATACTTGGCACTTAGGGCTATTGAGCAGTTAGGGATCTTTTTCGTGCCAGCACCTACTGCGACATCGGACCTCGGTTTATACGGTCTCATCCGAAGGACCTGTCTCCACGTCCTGCAGTAGGATTCGAACCCGCGATGTAAGGATCAAATCTTTACTCCACGACTCTAGAGCAGACGCTCTAACCACTGCGCCACGCAGGCGACGCAAGCTTTTTGAAAAACTATTACTATTAAAACAGATATGTCTAAATCATTCATTATGTAGTGTGTAAAGGAGGATATTATGGTAGAAATTGTTCTCAGAAATGTTCTTCAAAATGCATCGACACATGTCAACACACTGACGGCTCTTGTACTTGTTCCTATGGTTGGATGGGCATTAACTGTAACCAAGGTATTTAGAATATATAAATATGGTTTTCTTAATAATTTATACTGTATAATCTATGATTACTTATCTAACATTACAGTAGCAAAATACACTACTTACAAATGCAATCCCCTCCATTTTTTCTGAAAATCAAGAATGTCCATCTGGATATTACGGAATAAACTGTAACGAGGAGTGCAGTTTACACTGTGGATTTAATGACACATGCGAAAGATACAACGGATCTTGTCCAAGGGGATGTCAAGAACCCTACACAGGGCCAAACTGCTTTAAAATGACAGGAAACTGTCCACAAAGGACAGGTAATTCTGAAAAAAAAATGTTTATTATTAAATTTGAAAATATCAGTTTAAGAAAATTAATTATTCTTTGTTGATCTCAAAAGAGAAATGCTATTTTATTATTCCCTTTCTTTCTCTTTCCTTAAAAAAAATTAATGTCAAAACAATGTTTTTACCGAAACAAAAATCATCCATATTCTTATAATTATTGGTACATTATTACGCTTATTAAAGGATTGCGCTTATTGAAGGATTTTTGTCCTTTTTTTATAATCTACTGTATACATGTAATATTTGTCGGTACAACAAACTCATTCTTGATTTCCTTAAGTGGATTTTATTTTATTCTACAGATTCTAAAGATTCTATTCTTCCGATTCCTTTGATCTGGTTTCTAGGACTCATCCTGTCAGTGGTACTGAATTTGTGTTTTGTACTTATAGCAAGTTTTAAGCACTTCAGGTAATTCTGCATTTAATTGTTTTAGGATTTAAAATTTCTTTGTTTATAAAGATTTGATATTTCTTTATTTGTTTTACTGAAGAATGAAAATAGCAAATTGTTTTTACAATCACCGTCAACATAAGGAAAATAAGGAAAGTAAAATATTTTTAAATTTTCTTTTTTGAGAAGGAGATGCCCAAAGAAAAAGTCAACTTCTGTTGCTTTAAAAGATGCCTCAAGTCCTGCGCACACTCGCTACGAAAGAGGAATAACTCCGCCTGGAAAGCAAAGTTATCAAGAATTAAAAAATAACATAAGTTATGAAAATGTTACATTATAACAGTAATACTGTAAAATACCTTTATTAGAAATTCATATCCTTTTTCTTACTTAGCATACGCTGTTTTTCTTAGATATGCAACAGAATATATTTTCATTATGTTTAAATTATGTTAGAATGTTTATTGTAAATTTTTGCAAAGCTGGATATTATAGTATATACATTATATATAAGGTGAACGATAGGATGTGTGCTTTGCTACTGTACACTGTACATGTATTTGCATTATTATGTCACCCTGATCCAAGACGGGACTATGAATATATTGCTATTATTGCACCTATAATTTTTTGCGCAAATGCTCTTGCAAATGGCTTAGACTACCTTAATAAGATTTACAGAAATATTAACACAATCTTTAGTTATGCAATCGACATTTTAAATTTTCAAAATTAATTTCGTTGCCATGGAAACAGAGAAAAAGTCAAAATTCTTTCAAGTTTTCAAATTTCAAATTTCAAATTTATTCCAGTAACTATCCAGCCAATCTTTCTGAAACTTTAAAAAGGATTGTTCCTTGCATCGTCTCTAAGTGTTGTCTGTAAAAAGGACTTGGTAGTTGAAGACATATTGAAGAATAAACAACTTAAGAAAACTTCCTGATACATGACATTGCGTATGGGCATTGTTTGGGTGAGTTGTCTTGTGAAATCGTATGTTGTGCGCACTTGTATACCCTTGTATACCCTGCTCCAAACTCTAAGACTGCAGCATCGGGATCAGTTTTGAATGACATGCATCTACCTGTTCCTTGCAATAGCAGTCTTTCTAATTTTGTCGCCCTGGACGAATCAGGGAGACAAAATAGTTTATGTGCGACATGAATTTCTAAAACTGCTGAACAACAACTCTTGGTGTTAAAAACTTTATACAGTTTTTAATGTTTATGAAAACTATTTTTTTTTCGTTTCAGTATCATATACGTTCTGGCATTGTTTTTAATAGAGTTTAGGACTAATAAAAATAAAGAAAAATCGCTAGGGCTGTTTCATAGAATATATCACTAAGAACTCGGAAGCAAGAAAGAACTGCATTACTAAATGTATTTTCTCTCAGACTGAAATGTCGCACTTTCATTTTTATAGGTGCGACACATGACTGCCGCCTATATTTCTTTGTCCTGTAGATTAGGATTAATATCGGACAATACGTATTCTCCTATTAGAAATCATTTATTTGGAAACTACTTTCCATAATGTTTTCATTTTGAAATTTTTTAAGACATGACGTAAGATTTGTTGCGTTTGCATTGCAAGTGATGGTAGCTTGAGACGTGAGAGGGAAAAAAATAAGTTAAAAAATTATAAACGAATTATTGAAAATAAAAGGTGCCTTAAAGATATATCAGTTTACTTGATCTGTGACGATGAAAGGTGGGATAAATCATTTTGAAGAGTTTGTCTGGACTGTGTGAAAGTAAACGAGCCTAGACAAGATATTGGGACTTCAAAAATTAACAAAAATAAAATATATAAAATCCAATCTTCTTGCAGATCCAGAGTGTTAGGTGGACGGGCGGGCGGTTCCACTTTTGCTGTAGATTCTATATCATTCGAACGTCGTGTCCCCCACTTTTTGTTGCAGGAGGATGGAAATGTGCCATGTAATTGCATTAAAGAATACCAACAATAAATTAGAGAAAGACATTACCTTCTACCGAGCTTTGGAGGTTTATTTCTTTTCTGATTTTTTTCCCCTTGTTTGAACCCCCCCCCCCCCCCCCCCGATAAACATTGCTTCGGGACTGTCTTGAATTTATGTCTTTCACACTGTGGACCTTGAGAATATCAATTAATTTCTGATTCGTTTCTGTCTGCCTTGGATCTGCCTAGCCGTCTTTGAGATTGATTCACCCGATATATTTCTGTAGACAGTCAGTATCTAACCCTATAATATGCCTGACACTATACTTTCAAACTGCATCTATACTAACTATATAATAAATATGGAGCTGATTTTTTGTGCGTTTATTTTGGGCAAATTTTTCACTCATATAGAGACGTCACCACATACCGATGAAGGGCTTCAAATTAAGACTTTTACTCGGCACTCAGGGCCATTGAACAGCGAGGCATGATTTGAACAAAATTAAATCTACGCTAACTAAAGATGCTTACTTTTTTGACTTACTGTGACCTTTTTCCTACCAATTTGAACTTTAATTGTGGCTCCACCTTACCCTTGTGGGTCATGATTTGAACAAACTTGAATCTACACTATCTGAGGATGATTCCATATAAATATGACCAACCATGGCTCTGCTGTTCTTGAGAAGATTTATAAAGATTTTTCCTATATACTCCTATGTTAAACTTTGACCGTCCATTGATGCTCCATCCTACACCCGGGGTCATGATTTTAGCAAACTTGAATCTACACCACCTGAGAATGCTTTCATAAAAATATGACCAATCATTGCTTTGCTGTTCTTGAGAAGATTTTTAAAAAAAAAACTTTCCCTGTATTTCCCCGTGTAAACCTTTGATCGTCCATTGTGGCCACACCCTATCCATGGGGGTCAAGATTTGAACAAACTTGAATCTTCACTATCTGAAATATATATGAGTTTTATTTTTTCTGGCCCATTGGTTCTTGAAAAGAAGATTTTTTCAATGATGCCATTAATTTTCCGCTATTTTTAATTATCTCCCCTTAGAGAAGGACATGACCCTTAATTTGAACAAATTTAAATCCCCTTCACCGTAGGATACTTTGTGGCTTATACTTATGTAAAGTTGCATACCAATAGTTTGCATAACCCTAACTATGGGATCTTGGTTTGAACAAATTTAAATTTTTCTCTCAGTAAGGGGTGTTCCACATATACTTTACCTTTTCTGATCTACTGGATCTTGAGGAAATCTTGTGATACACTAACACTCGTTTTTCTATTTCTTGATTATCTCTCCTCTGAAGAGATGGCTTTTCATTTTTTTTATCAAAAAAAAAAATTAATAAATTTCCTTCATCAAAGGATACTTTACTCCAAATCTGCTAAAAGTTTGTTCACTGTCTCTAGAGAAGTCGAAGATCTGAAAAGTTATCAAAAGACAGACAGATGGAAGACGCATAAATGTTTAACTGAAAAGTTCACTTGGAAATTTGTGTTGAGTAAACTATAAAGCAACAAAATAACACTTAATTTATAAAAACATGTTTCATGTACATACAGCAAATACAAAATTACAAATTAAACAATAAACATATAAAACAGATAATTAGTATGAAAAAAAGCTTGATTGGATAAACGTATTCTGTTAATTGCCACCTAGGTATTTTATGATGAGTGTTAGAAACCTATTTTAAGTGATTACATTACACAACAAACATAACGTAGATGATGTGTTACATGTATTAATACAATGACATTACAAACTCAAAAAATAACACTTTTAAATAGATTACAATAAAAATTGAAATAAGACAAAAAGATTTAAAAATATTTCACAAAGTTTATGACTCCAAAACACAAAGTGATACAATAAATAAATAAAAGTGAATAAAAAACAAAACTCTTTAAAAAGCAGTTCAAATAAGCTTATCACTAATGAAAAAAATATCCTCGAAAGATTAGTGAATATATATAGTTTCTTTTGATTTTGCCGGTCAGAAGTTTTTACATTAATTACAAAGGTTCATCGTAAGATTAATCAACAACGAATGTTAAAGATATTATGTACTAAGTTATAAAAAGTTTCCTCCCTTTGTCTAACAATTCGCGTAAACACTATCATTCTGCATGTATTCTGCAAGGACATCATAACAAAGCTGGTATTCCTCCTAAAAACAGAAAATAAAATGTTACATCTAGTAAAAAATTTCTTTATTCAATATGGGATTACCATAAATGATATGCATATTCAAAATCAAAATATGTTATCAAGCAATTAAAGAATTGGACTATGCATTCGAGAGATTAAGAATGTATATTGTAACAAGGAAAGCTTAAGACAAAAATAGTTTTATCTCTCAAATTTAAGAACCCTTTTTAAAACCTTACTTACAATCAGATTTTACAATTTGCTCATTGCAAATAACGCAAGTAAACTACAGGGGGAAATATCGGAAAGGTTTGAAAAGATCACAATAATCTACAGTTCAATCTAACGCGTACTTAGAGGGTAAAAGCACCCACCAAAGTAGACACAAACTCCGGTCTACGAATCTGAAGTTGTCGTGTGATGGTGAAGATATCTACTTCCTTATCCATCAAGAGTTGTTCCAGGGCGTTATAGACAACACAGAATGCTCCACAGCGTGTGGCTCCATCACTAACAGATGCATGTAATAAATATTATTAAATTAAAAAAAATCTTGTAAGAGGATGGGCGAACAAGGCGAGCGTAATGCCTACATGTATAGTGCGACAAACTTTAAATCTTAATTATAACAAAATTTTCTTTGATATTCCATCTAAAATTAAATTATACTTTATGCCTATGAAATAGCATCCGCCCACTAGAGAGGGCAAAAAGGATCATTTTCTCATACTATAACACAATATTTCTATACGAGTGGGTCTTCGCTCCATATTTTTGGAAATTTATCCTCAAAAATCGCGTAAAAACATGCATTTTTGGTTAACAAAAAACATGGAGCAAAGGTCTGCTATACCTTTAAAATAGAATGTTATGACACAACATTCACATTTTTCCGAGAAATAGTTGAAGTCCATTTAGTCAAGGGTCATATCACAAACATGATTTAAATGCCACCATTCATCAGGAGCTGTGTAGCGTGGTGTTTAGCGTGTTAGTCTCAAAGGAAAATGATACTTAGGTTTTTTTATTGCTAAGGTTCGAACCACATTATTTTTAATAATAGCGTAATTTTTGCCGAGAAAATTTTCCGCAGAAAAGTTTTGTTTTTCATAATTTAAAAAAATTCAATAATGAGAACTTTATATACTAAATTCACAAACTGATTATGATTTTTGTGTATTTATGCATATAAATGAATTTATGTGATCTAAATACATACAAGATTGTGTTATTTTTATTCATCACTATTTTGTGTCAATTCATGGGTCTTGAGGGGTTTTTCCGGGTTTTATATTTAAGCGCCATCTAGTTACGGCTATTAGCCTCATCCTTATCAAAATAACTTTTGGCTCCGAAAAGGTGGTTTACAAATTTTACCCACACCCACCCCTTCAACCCTCCATGTACATTGTTATTGTTGTAGAAAATACATGTACTAGTTTTCCTTTGTATAAGGTGTGGGATATTTTTTGGGCCCCACCTTCTGCTGCATTCTGAAATTGTAAAATTTGTAATCTCATTTGGCATTTGTAATAAAGGCTCTATACACACAAACCCTCTTTATTATTTGACTTGCTGCAGAACAGAGCTGCAAATGTGCTTCAGGTTCATATGAACTGAATTGTTCATCAGTTTCAGTATTTAAGAGCACATAAATATATTTGAAGCTATAGGCATTCTGCGCGCCTTGTTCACCAATCTGCTTTTGTCACGAACAGTTTTGTAACGTATATGAAAAAAGGGAAAAGCTAACGCATTTTCCTGCAAGCAGAAGGTCAAAATATGCAGATTTTTTTTTAAAGTTCTGAATATGTTACCATTAATAAGAAAAGATTTTTATTCAAACAAATACAAGACTCACATCCCAAAGATATACAAAATTTGTAAATTACCTGGACAAAATAAGTATTTTCCCCTCATCTTTATCTTTTTCTGATTTTGCCTCTTTGACCACATCAAGTAATACTCTTTTATCAGCAAGGGACCTCCCTTCCTTCCAGGTCTTACATTCAAACACAGTTATTCTCATGTCGCTACTTCCCTAGTAAAAGAAATTATGTGTGTTATATTAAACCATGGAACACTTAGAATTTTGGGCACAAATTATGGAATTACTGTTCAACTATGATGTATAAATAAGACAAACCTTTGGCTGCAAAACTAAATTCCTGGTTGTAAAGTTTACAGTATTAGTTGATGTTTCCAATTTAAGTTCAAAACTGCCTACATTTTTGTGTTCTGATTTTGTTGGAACCCAGAAGAATGACTGGAAAAATGATACAAATTTTATGTGATTTTTTTAAAGAAAGAATGGAGAATTTATAGTTAGCAAACCAAAAGAAAACCAAAACATAAATTGAAATTGTTTAAAAGTTTTATTTTTTATCTTTGGTACCCTTAAATATAAGTATAATATATATTCATAATTGATTGATTTTTCTCGACTTCATTAATATGTAGCTATCTTACAGACTTAATTTCCTTTAAAGGACTCAGGAAAACCACAACACGAGCATCAAAGTCCCTGATGAGTCTGAGAAAATCTTCAGTGTAGTCAGGAAGTGGGTACTGGGCGCTGATCATACTGTCGTTTTCAGTGAAGGACTGGAACATACATTTTATATAATTTTTGTCCTTGAAGAACAAATGCAAGCTTGTAAATGCTATTAAACAATCTAAAATTTGATCATGAACAAAATCCAGAAAATAAATTATTCATTAGTAGTATACATGAAGCTTAAGTTCTGCCTCTTGCTGTAGACAACAAAACATCAATGTATACCTGTTTAATATCTTTTTTTTTTTGGGTTTCTTTTTTTTCGTGTCTGGGAGTAAACAGCGAAATTAAATTGAACAAGAATTAACATATTTAAGAGACTTGTTATTAAAAGTCATATATGCAAATTTTTCTGTTATCCTTAATCGATTATTAAAAGTCACTTTATATGTGTACATATAAGGACGTTATAACGTGATTTTATTTTTTAAAATACAGACATGCAAATAAACAGATGTGGACTTATTTAACAAATAAACAACGTTATTCAGTGAACATGGCGTTATGAATAGCAATTGCTCTGCAGGCATATTCCATGATACTTGCTAGTGCATCATGGAAAATATGCCAGCAGAGCTATCGCTATTCATAACACGTTCACTGAATTATCATTGTTTATTACTTGTATTTGCATTCTGTTATGTCAAGAACATCATAGGAAATCCTGGCCTGCACATGGGCACGGGTGCTTGTCTCTAGTGAAGAAAAATATGACAATAAAATTAGTAAACCTGATTGATACTAATTTATCCACTTTATCCTCAATTAATCACATACAATATATGTGGTATTTGCTAGTTATCTGGATACGAACCGCGCCGTCGTCAAATTCTTAATCTTGTTTTGATGCTGTTGTGACGCGCAATGACGTCATCGTCATCGAAACTCTCCGAGAAAAATTATAAATAACAATAACATGAAAAAAGATAATTTTTACATTGATTTTAACTTAAGAATGATTTTGTTTTGTTTCTTTAAGTTCTTAAAATTCTTTTTGATAGTTAAAATCGTTTTTGAAATAAATATATTATTACAGAAATTTCGCTTTGTCTGAACGTAAAAAAATCCTAACGTGAAGAGTTATTGTTATTTCCAACAATATGCGTAAAAATGAACAAACAAATTAAAGATATAGAGCTATGTTTAATTTGTAGAAAGTTTTATTTTACAATCAAACATGTTGACTAAAATTATTTATTTTTTAATTTGAAAACACCTCAATCAGTAATCTTAATCATTTCTTTTTTCCCGGAGGATTCAATTAAAAATTTAATTTTACTGCCTTTGCACAACATTCCATATATATATTTCTGAATGTTTTGTTTAAGTGGAGTAGATTGTACTGCTCCAGTGTAAGAAACGAAATGCACTTATAGCAAAAGAAGCTGCATTCATGGTGCTATAAACGCAACTGGTGAGTGCAGGTTTATAGTGGGAGAAATCAGAGTGTATGCATATATAATTCAATACCCTTCATTTAAGGATATTGACATCTGTATTAATCACTGTCAATTAACAGACCATGATTACTCATGCAAAGAGATGAATATAGACCATTAAGACTAAAAAGATGTTTGTTAATAGTTTCATGCCCATTTTATTAAGGTTTCAAAGTGCAGCGATTAACGCTGTAAATAAGCCTGGATTACATGTAGGAACCCCCGTTACTGCTTGTATACACAGCATGACGTAATTATGTTTATTATAGTACTGATAAGTAGATCATCGATAGGATTATAGTAACGCCTTATTAAACGAGACACCTGAGAACTTAATTTCAAATTGTTTAATAAATGTCTCTTCTTAAAGAAGATAAAATATATTCCTTTTGTCTTTTGTTTTAGAATGGCTACTTGATACATACTTTGACCAATACGTACATTTGCAATAAAATTCAGGACATATCTCTATAAAAATGTTAAAAAACAATCATACCTGAAGAAGAACAGCGTTGTAGTAGTTGTTCCTTCCCTTTGTATACGACAAATAGCACATGTATTTTTCCACTGAAATTGATACAAATACATGTATGTAAACCGGCTTAATGTACATGTAATGAATTGTTCAAGAAAATTAACATTACTCTAAAAATTTATTTGCCATGAATTTTCTTCATGAAAAATATTGGTTCTAAAAACTTCAATTTAAGTTAGATAACTTTATAATTAAGTGATTTATAGAGTATTGATACATACCAGGCAGAACACTCTGTGTGTAGTTGGCCGATTTGTTTTTAAGTCCAGATTCATAGTCTTTCTCTGCAAATTTTATCCGAAGAGACTGTAGAGTCTACAACAATGTAGAATGTATACATGTATACACACATGAATTCACTTCAAACATAATGTACATTTATATTTTTATGTGTAATCACCTAAAATATATATGAAAAATTGAAGAAGACATAATTTATTGCATAAAGCTATTCACGCCTTATCAATCATTTTTTGTTGTTGTGTTGCAATGTTAATTGTTACAAAATTGTTTTTTTTTGTTTTGTTTTGTTTTTTTTTTTTTTTGCAAAGTAGGATGAATTTACTTGGAACTCTGATGACAATGAAGGTGTATTCGTTACTTCCCCACAGTTAGTGTAGCATGATCTATCTTGAGATTGTTGAGAAAGTGTCTCAGTTGTCCGACATCTAGACCGTCCACTGAAAGCTTCACAAAGGGCAAGATAAACACATCTGTACTGGTCCTGATGAATGAAAAAAAGATGTAAATTTTATTAAGTAGAGTTGAGTTTATCCTTTAAATGGACAATAACATTTTACCTACTACGTGCTTTTCAAAAATCTTTCGTGATTGTACGTTCAATTACGTCCATGCCTATTTAATTTATTATTATCAGTACAAAACCACCATATTGAAATGCTCAAAATCAGTGCTCTCCCTTAAATATCGGTAGTAGTTGCTTGAAATTTTAAGAATTTTTTCCAGAGAAAGTAGTTGTTTACAGAGGCTTTAGAGAGGTGTAACAATTTTACTTGTTTCGCGTGCCGAGAGTTCAAAGAGCTTGAGATGCCAAGATCTATCGGCTTCGTTTCGATTGACAGTGCCTTTCTCTGAATGACAATTTTTAATTTTTTCTTGTTGCAGTAGTTTTGTTTTAAATATATCTTACTGAATGTTACATGCAAACAACTTCTAAAAATTTATGGTGGATTATACTCGATAGCATTTTTACGTTTGTCGTTTTTCTCTTTATGTTATCAGCAGCTGTCACGAAATGTTTAATGTTGTTAGATAATTTCACCCTGAAGGGCGTGGTTTCAATTCAAATCGTTTTTTTTCTTAAACGTCTCTCAACCAATCAATTTTGACTCATATACTTAAAATGAAAATAAATCTGATCCCATCTCTTGAATTTCCAGATGCCCGTGTTCTATTAGAATATATATATTTTTTTGCTTAAAAGACTATATTTATAGACAATCTATGTGTTACTACCGCTTTTACTAAATGGCAAAAATATTTCAAATATTAAAATTTCCACAACAAATCAAATTCGCAACGGTATTATTGGTCTTTCAAAAGAGATTTACAAACAAGGAAATGTTCGAAATTTCAATATAGGGAAGTTTCTTTACATAGCATTTACACGATTGGAAAATATTATTCACCTTAAACTCTCTGCTTTTTAAATTGAGGAAGTGTTTTGGTGAAAACACACGATAAGACTGTCACCAGGGTAGAATAGGGAAATGTTTATAGCTAATCACATTTCAAACTCCTCTTGAAAGGTGATTTAAGGGGAAATATTACCTTTAGCGTGTGAAAGAAAATTTTCCATCATACGTGTATGCCACTAAAGCTTTTGTTTTGTAGATATCTAATCAAAAGTAATGCCTCCCTTTTGGTTTAAAAAAGGAATAGGAGAAATATTGTGTTAAGTCTTCAGTATAAAAGACGGGAAGTTTGAACAGCCATAGCTGCTTTATTAAAGTGTACATGTAAAGTATACATGTAGATACTTTGTGCATAGACTATTATTTTAAATACAAGTATTCAAATATTTAAATGACGTAATGATAAAAATTTCAATATGATTTTTCAGAACACCTTATAAAAATAATCTTAAGTTTACAACAAATTTCATATTACACTGAGACTTTTAAATGAGGTAAAATGCAAATCAAAAGTCGTTTTATCTTTAGTGGAATTCGGTGGAAAACTGAACAAAATCTATATAAAAAAAGAAACTTACGTCGCCCTGTATCATGTTCATTCTGTCTTTTCTCATAGTCCTGACGTACATTGGTACATTGACCCTGGCATTTCTCTCCCCTTCCCGATATAGGGCATCCAAGGCAATGTATGTTCCGGTTCTGCCAATTCCGGCACTGGAAATAAACTCTGTGATTATTTAATTAAGGCTACTTCATACTCTTTTTCCTAGTTTTATCAATGTAAATGGTGAATATAATAAACACCGATAGATTCCGTAAAACAGGTTAAAAATACGGATAGTAAAAAGGGAAAATCACAGACCCATAGAATCAACATAAGTCGAATCAGATGCCGAAGAGGACTAAGCATCCAACATTTACGGGTCACTCTGAGCGTATTCAAAATATAAGAATAGAACGTAATGACTAAACAAATGATATAAAACTTGTCGGACAAAGTACAACCTAACAATAACACAGGCATATGAATCTAACGCTTTTAATAAGAGGTCTTGGACTTGACATATGTATAAGCAACTAGCTAACACTGAAGTGCAATTTTAAAAAATAAAAGGCCCAAGGGCCTTAACGGTCACCAGAGTATAATATAACACTGTTAAGTATCAACAGAAGTACAAAATAAAAAAAGAGGCCCTGAAGAAGCACATTTGCTTATCATAACTATGCACTTAGTTGAAGAATTTCAACGGATTACTATTTTTTTTACTAGATAATCAACTGAGCCCAGCCCAAAAAGTCCAAGAACCAGGGCCCATGAAATTCACAGTTTTGGAAGAGGCACCCTTGCTTGTTATAACTATATGCTTAGTTTGTTTATTTAATACCAAAAAGCAAAATATCAAGGAAAAAAAAATGCATTTTTCACTATATAATCAATAACACCCCCACTCAACAGGATCCCCTGACCCTGGGGCCACACATTTCACGATCTGAAAGAAGCACCCTACCTCATCATCATCATGCCCTTTTTTTGGATCTGCTTGATACCCCAGATAAGAATTGATGCATTTTACTATATAGTCAATATAGTCAACTTACAACAGAAATTCTGACCCAGGGGCCAGGAAATTCGCAATTTTGCAGGGGGTACCATTGCTCAACATAACTAGGCATTTAGGGTTTTTTGCTTAATACCCAGGAGTAGAGGAGATCTTTTAAGGAATAATGCATTTTCACTATATATTCAACAGAGCCCCGCCTAGCACCAAAGCCCTGATGCTGGGGCCATGAATTTTACAATTTTGGTAGAGGGCTTGTTACAATCATGCCAACAGTTTAACTGCTTGATTACCAGGAATAAAGAAGAATATTTTTTTAAATATTGCTTTAATTTTGATGGTTTTAGCCCTGTCCCTCAGGCCCAGGGGCCATGAATTTCACAATTTTAGTACCCCTTTACTCATAGATGCTACAGGTTGAAATTTGTTCACTGGTTCTATAGAAGAAGTTGAAAATGTTCAAAAGTTTATGACTGACGCACGTCCATGAAGGACAAAAATAGACAGCAATAGGTCACTTGACTCGGGTGACTTACATGGTTCCATTTTGCATTCACTATGTACATGTACACGCAGCAGAATTTGAAAATCATTAATATAAAAGCAATAGAGAAGACAGATTTTCAACAGCCTCTTAGCCTCAAATATTTTTTTTTTAGATTTAGTTTGAATTTATCACAAATAAAATTTAACACAATCTTATATTTTTATTTGATTTGGGTTTTATTTAAACTATTTATTGTTAAATATATCCTTGAATAGATATTATATTTGATGCCAAAGGCTTAATAATTACATATCGGCTGAATGACAAAAGGTTCTAAAATCTACATTTCGACATATGTCTTAAAATAAAAAAAATGACTATTTTAGTAGTTGATCATTTAGATCACTCAACTATGACTAAAAAAACTAAAAATGAACAAATTTTACTCAGTGATAAACACTGTGCATGACTATTTTTTTTTTTTTTTAAATTTTGGTCACAAATATCATAACTCCCCCCGCGTGGCCTAGTGGATAGAGCGTCTGCTATAGAGTAAGGAGCTGATCCTTTCGCCGCGGGTTTGAATCACTGCGGGACGTGGAGACCGGGACCTTCTGATGAGACCGTATTAACAGAGTTCCCGTGTCGCAGTAGGTGTTAGCACAAAAAAGATCCCTCATTGGTCAATGGCCCTCAGTGCCGAATATAGGTATATATTTGCAGCCAACCACCGGCAAGTGGTGGGGTCTCCATATGAGTGAAAATAACAAACAAACAAAACAAAGAAACATTATGTAAATAGTGCCTGTTTTTGAGGGTAATAGTTTCAAAGTCCCCGCTTTTGTTTTTCTCAATAAGAAAGTTTTGAAAAAGATTCACCGATCTCTCTTTTGTTTGTTTAATACTCAGAGAGTCCTTTATCATGTAAGGTTCTATTATTTCTGCACTCACAAGCATTTTTCGTCTGTCGTGTGTTGTTTTCAATCAAGCTACATCGTTTGCAAGCTTAGATTAACGTCAAGTTTATTCAGCTTCTTTCAAACGCATAACTTACGTTTTGAGAATTCTCCGGCGAACGGTACGTGCATAATTTACACGCTTGTGACATTTTTTCCCTTTCAAGTGTGTTGCTAATGATGGGGGTAACATTACGAATAGTTAAATACGTCTAAACAAATCAGAGTTAGTATTTAACATGAAAATAAAATAAAACATAATATTCAGTATTAGATTTAATGTACCTCATAAGATCTCTATGTTTATATGGTATGGTGCTGGTCGGATTTTGTTAAGCTTTTTGATTGACTTATCTGTTTGTTTCACGTATAACATAAAATAATCTGATATTGTATGTGTTCTAACAATTAAAGTAATTGGTTGAATTCCTAAATAAAAGATCTTTGGCTTAAAGCATAAATTTTATATTTATAGTTTTTTTAAGAAAATAAGAAATGGAATATATAGAGTTAAATAAAGTTAAACACTGTAGAATTTAATCGCCAGGGATTTTAAGAAATTTTTCCTATGTCTATTATTATTTCGTAATATCCAGTAAAAAAAAACTGCTACTATTGAATGACAATTATTAGTTTGTTGAATGCGGGATAAATAATCCCCCTTTGTCATAAATTTAAAAGTAAAATCAGCTTCACTGTACATATTGTCAAACTTTTCCTGCAATAATATTATTAAAATCATTAAGTTTCATGTCATTCTTTTTAAAATAACCAATATCAAATCACAAAACGACAGAAAAATGTAATATAAATAGAAATAAACACACAAGTCTAGCCTGCTACCATATCAAGTAAGCATATGTCTGAACTGCTAGCGCTAGTCGTTTACATCGCCATTCTTTTACACATACAAAAATATTTTCATTTCATGTAAGTCCTAGAAGTTGCAAGTCTTTGAGTACAAATACTTAACAATGGCGTATATCAACAAGACGTGTTTGTGAAATACAATTCACACTAGCAGGGCTCAGTTGTAATTGATTCTGATTAATTCAATCTTGACTACACTTATCTCTTAACTAGATGACTTTGAGATAGGATCAAGACTCGTCATCTATCATGAGCTACTTCATATTGGTATCTTTCTGATAAGGGACTTTAACCTCAGCCTTGTTCGCCTTGAATTTTTGTAAGATTATGAATCAGCGTTAGAAAACATCCCCTTCTGTATTAGGTGAAAATAAAAGCTTTACGCTTCAAATCCCCTTGACCCTTATTTAAATGACCTTAGGATTGATCTCTAGGGTTGTGGCAAATTCTTTCAAACATAAGGAATATCTCTTTGAACGTATCAGTTAAAAATTGTAATTTCTCTGTAATGTCTATTGTTTGTATGTTTATCGTCCCTTTCGAGAATTTTTCACTCAAATTGAGGCGCACTACCTCCCGGTGGACGGCTGCAAATTTAGACCTAGACTTGCAGTCATTGATCACTTAGGGATCTTTTCTTGTGCCAGCACCAAGTGCTACACGAGACCTCGATTTATACGGTCTTATCCGAAGGACGGGTCACCATGTTCCGCAGTGGGATTCGGGCACGCAAAGGAAAGATCAACGTCTTGCTCTGTGACTCTAGAGCAGATGTTCTAATCACTGCGCCACTTGGGTGACCCTCTATATTCGCTATCCAGTTTTCAGACAGCTCACTTTCATCTCAAGTGTTCGGTTTCACTTGATCTTTGATTTACATTCGTAGCATTGTTCCAATATGCATAAAGTCTTAAGGGGCAGGTTTCCCAAAAACGTGTTGGAAATTCGATGGGCACAACCAGTGCTTCTTTATCCGCTGACCTATTCTTATATTCCTTTAAGCAGGATTTTTCCATCTATAGCTATACCCCCACAGTAAATCAATATGAAAAAAATAATCGATAGCTATCAATTCACCATTATTTTATATATCGACGAAGTTTTGTCAAATAACAGTAGTTATTTTCATTCTGGTAACTCTACATATCACAGTGAACTTAAAAAACACACCATACCTATTTCATAGTTACTTTACTGAAAGTGGATATTAATTGCTATCTTACAACTTAAACTCTACGACAAACAGGATGACTTCACCTTTTTGATCTTCAACCTTCTTTACCTCTGTAGTAATATTCTATTATCACCTATACCATTCTTTATGTATTCCATCGGATAAAGGGCATAGGAGCATATTCTCAGTACAATAAATTTTAATCGAAAATGGAGAGAGAGAGAGAGAGAGAGAGAGAGAGAGAGAGAGAGAATCAATATAACTGCAAATAATTTTCAAGAGGTAGATAAGGGAATTTAACCTGCAATGAACCAATGTGTATTTTCCAGTTTTTGAGGACGTCTTCATTACGTGAAGATGGAACACAACAAGACTGAGTGGATCAGGTACTCCATGGTCTGGCCATCTTGTGAAGTGGAACATCAACACTTCACGATCGTGTCTTTCCTTTAAATTAAAAAAAAAACTGTTTTGCATGTTCCTTGCTGTTGCTTATGATTGCCTTCTATATATTTGATATATGCATGTAACTTTGTCATTGTGTACAAATAATGTACATTTAGAGTGATTTAGTTTATTTGGTATGCGCATTGGAACATATGGCAGATTTGGAAACTAATTAAATTAGTTGAAGTTCGGTATATCGAACTTTGATATCTCGAATACCATGGATATGTTGAAGTGATTTAGAAGTCCCAATTACTTATTCTTTGCATATTTTACCCTCGACATATCTAATCATCGGATATCTCAAAGTTTTTTTTCTCGGTCCCATGGAGTTCGAGATAACGAGGTTTGATTATTAAGGTTTTCCGTCTTCAGCGGAAGACCCTTTTGTTATTCTTACGTTTCTTTTCCACTGTTTTTATTATTATTTTTTTCTTACCGATTTTGTGCACGCAGGATCTCGGAAACAGCTCGCTCGATTTGCATGAAACTTTTAGGTCTGATAGAATATCAAAAAATCTAAAACATCTTTTTATTTTGATGACGTCACTTCCGGCCCGGAGATTTCCGCGATTTAGTGATTTTTTGAGGGTCGGATTGTCCGCAAGTTTTCTAGTAAACCACTTTTCACAGAAGCCTGAAACTTTCAGTGAAGATAGAGCAATAAATGACTGTAGATCTGTAAGGCATAGTTCCCTTCCACCGCAAGTACCAAACGTCGACGCTCACTATGGCCGGAAAAAGTTATATCAATTTCAAAATTTCTAACACTTTTTCTACGATATTTCTTTACCTGTAGATGTTTTGTCAAAACATACAGAACAAAAGTTATCCCGAATTACAAGATCTTTCAAATGATATTATGGAAAAGGGGCTAAAAAAGTATTTTTGCGATATCTCGAAAAGTGTTGGGAATTTTAATACACCAATGAAACAAAGTTGTTCAAAAATAACAATTAGCAAATAGTGAAATTGTCAAAATACGTCAAGTGACGTCACTTCCGGCCAAACAGGAAGTATTTATAAATAGCTTATTTTCACAGGTATGAGCACGGAATCGAATTACTAATGTCATAGAGGACGTCCAGCTGCAATTCCTTTCGAAAATCGTCACATTCAACCACTTCCTGTTAAACCGGATGTAGCCAGAAATGGCTTGTTTCTGCAGATATTAACATGAAATTAAATGATTTTCTTCACCTAAGACTTCCAATCTAAGTTTCTGTTGATTGGCGTCACTTCCAGTCAAACTGGAAGTAGCCATAAATTGCTGTGTTTCACGATAATCAGCAACATATTATTTTTAAAAATATACCAAATGCAGATCAACATCATATTTGGTCTGGATACCTTCTTTATAACTAATGCTTTACCTTCCTTTATCTCTTTTACTAGCAGTGTTACTGAAAGGGGACGGAAGACCTACTCGTTGCTTTGCAACGAGCTTTGCTTTAGTTCTTTTTTTCCCCTAGACGCCAGCTTTGAAGCTTCATATCATCCTTATTTTCTGAAAGGATTTTCTTCAAATGTTCAAAGCTTATAGACTTTACAAAAAGTTTTCAAATTACTGAAATACAATTCAAATATTTCTTTCCGGTCACGAGTTATTCCTCTTTGATTGAAATTTTAAGGGCTTTGGTTTCTACACAAAGGCTCCGAGACCATACTAACTGAAGCGGGAAAACTTGTGAATTTGAAAAATAGAAGCATTGTAGTTGTGCATATCGCTTTTTCTTTTCTTTCTTTCTTTTTTTCTTTTTTTTTTTTCTTTTTTTTTTTTGATTTCTGAGTTTAAAATGGCGCTAGAGAGGGGTAAAAAATTAGGATGCCTAAAAGAGCAAAAATTTAAACATTTTTTCCTTTGCGTCTTCTAGGCCTTATATAAAAATATTTGTGCATAATTTCAGGAACTTGCATTTGACATCACTTAAAAGGGGCTAGCCCCTAAAATTAGGGATCTAGGGCCAATAAAAGTTTCCGCTTTATAACTCAAAAAAACGGTAAATATTTCGATATGACTCTCGCTACAAAAGTTGTTCATTAACATCTTATTGATTTCATAAAATGTTATTTTGTTCGAGTATTGCGTAATTGTGATTAAAAAGCTGAATCCGTAAACAGATAATCGTTTTCATTTGCCAAGTGAACGAGAAGACGTTGTGCGTATAGCTGAAATAAACTTGCTTTATGTAATATACCTGATTACAGTAAACATTAATATTTTTTAAAAATAAGTCTTTTATCTGTTCTGTGGTTTTCTTACAAATTATTTAGTGATAACTTTTTTTATTTAGTCTTAAAATGAACAAAGTAAATGAAAGAAAGAGATTGATATCTTTTCTTCATTTAATTCTTCGTTTAATAGTAAAATCATCGATTTACATAAAACAAAACTTTACGCATACAATAATTCATGCCGTCTTACAGCACGTAGTTTACATTCACCTCCGTCAGCTTTGTGTTTACAATTATGTAACCCAGCCCTCGTTCACACGTGGCCGGAGAGATCAGCGACTCGCGTTCATAAACAAAACAATCATTGGTATTTAGATCCATTGTGTAATCAAAGTGATAAATGGAAACTAAGGTTCGAAATCATTTCAAAATTTTAATTATGAAATTATTTCGTCCTACTCTTCATCTTAAGCTTGTTTTTATCAATTCTAATCTCCTCTGCATTTATTCATCTCAAATTTTATGAATTTTGAATGCCCACCAAACCAAATGGTTTGCATATTTTACAAAACAATTTATTTCTCTCTCTAATGTAATTATTTATCAAGTTGTTATTGGTTTCACGAACATAAAACTACATGTATATATGCACGATAATTGTAACTGGAGGTGACGTTTCTAATTGTCAGGAAAATAGAAAATATAAAAAATTGTATTATTTTCTACCTAACTTATAATTGTCTTGTACAGAATGATATACTTATGTATTTCTTTTATTTCTTCTGATAACAAATTATCCCCCTTTAACATTCTTTTACACGATTTACGGGTACATGCATGTAAGTACATGCAATTTTACATGGAAGATAAAAATATATATAATCCGAGCTCTAAGAATACACCCTAGTGTATGTTTCTCATTATCTCTGCAATAGAATAGCAATTAATTAATTTTTTTTATTATTGAATTACCGTTTATTTTGATGTACATAAATTACTGACCCACTCAGCTGTTAAAGAGTTGTTTTAAAAACGGTAGTACATAGTAGTCCTACTGGTCAGTCAAGGTCGGTTTACACGGTAATACATGTCGTATACAACTTTTGTAATATATTCCTCACATGTCTACATGGTCAAACAGGTTTACATTCCAATCTAATGTTATTTAAACAAACGGAACGCCCCTTTGAAGAAGTAAAGTTTTTATTTATTTTGTCAACATGGAAGCATAGGAAGAGGAAGGTAGTTATTTTAATGTGCATTTTGATAATTTCATTTGTTCTCCCTGCTGTACCAGCAAAAAAGATCTAGAGGAGGCCATAGGTCAGGCAATGAATCGGGAGGAGGGACCACTAATTTCATCAGCAGAACGTTTGCCCTTACACTGCGTTTTTTGGCCATCGGTGATATAAAATTAACCGTCTAATTGAAATACATTTAAGGAGGAATGCTTCACCAAAATTGTATTTGATGGATCTTCAAAACATCCATTTTAACTAAACTTTTAGCATTGACAGATTGATATTCGCTCTTATTTATTTTATACGATTTGTGTCATATTTTTCAGCAAAAATGTAAAAAAAAAAATACATTTTAAATTTGAACAAGCCTTAACTCATGTACATAAAAAAAATGTTGAAGTATTCTTTTATAAAGTTGAATTGGTCAGTGAAGCATAAATAGATCAATCAAATCCCAAACCACTGATTGGCCAGAAAAAGAGAGTCTCATACGACTTGCTGTACAGGATAGAGACACGCTCTATTCGAACGCGCGGAATACATGTATATAACTCCGGGGAGGTCTAAATTCCGTGTAATAGCGCTGTTCACAGGGCAGCATTTTGTTGTATACGGCACGTTTTATACAGGTTGCTTTACCGTATAAACCAGCCTTTAACTGTAGCTGTATAAACCTTGTCGTATACAGCAAAATGCTACCTAAATGCCTTATGAGAGGTAGACATAAAGGTGTTGGTGGAAATATTTTAACCTTATATGTTTTCATTGAGTGTTTTCATAATAAGAAATAAATTGCTGGAGGATTATCTTGTTCTCTCTGATCACATTTGATAGCGTGTATGCACAGAGGTATGAAAACACGCTTGTGTACAAAGCAAACAAGTAAATAAAAAAAAACAGAAAAATACAAACATATGTCTATAGAAAACCATTGTCTTAATATGATTCAATATAAATTATTGTTCGCATGAGATCAACGTTTGAAAATTAAATCCCCAGTACCGAAGGATTTTGTGTCTATGTTTAATCAGCATACCGCTGTTTTTTTTGTTTTTTTTTTAATTTTAATTCTTCTTCCATGCCTTCCACCGAAACGGAAGAAAGAACGATAAGTTATACCGAACGCGATAAAAAATGTCGATTTTTTTCTTCAAATTAACTTAAATGAACAAACCTTTTCATTTCACTCTACAAGTGTCCTAAATAAAACTGCGTGGTTTTGGTTTCTCAACCTGTTTTAGATCGGGACCAGAATTGTTAAATGTCTTCATCGGCCATTTTCACTTATTTTGCACTTCAGTTATATCGAGAAAAAAAAAATGTGTTGGTCTCTTGAATGTCAATATTTCCGAATAAAATAATAATTTAACAGCCTGTCAGATTTATCATGGGCACCAATAAAAGGACGAAAATTTGTTTTATAAATAAAGTGGTTCTTACAAATATGTTCTAAAACATAAGCAGCTTAATAAATATTTATGTTATCCAACAAATGTTAATTTAGTTCTTTCCTGCACGTTTTCCAAAGACCTAGCTAGAAGTTTTCTGATTTTTTTCTTGAAATGCAGGCCCTCCGAAATGTCG